TAAAGGCATAAAAGCCGAAAAAAATATACTATAAAAATAAATACTGTATAATGTATGGACTTATAACACCTCTGCCTCGCAGTGCCACAGTAATAAACATATGTGCAGCCATGTCAGCGACAATTAGTCCAAAATTTATACTTTTTACTGTATTTATTTGATCAAACATCAAAGCTGTGTTGTTGTTGTGTCTGCCCTTGAAAGTGAATCAGCTTTTATGGAGGTGATTCAACAGGAGTGTTTGGGAAATAGTAGCTATAAAAGTTAATATCAGTAATGATGATGAATCACTTGATAAATCATTGAACCTTTAAGAGCAGTAAACTACATTTTCATTTTCATAGAAAGTGAGGGATATCTAGACATTCAAGTTATTGGGTTAAGTGTTACAAAAACAACAGACTCTTATTAGTTTTATTGCTGTTGGCTCTTGTTTTGCCACCAGCAGTTGGTTTCACTTGAACATTGTGTTGCTAGTAGCAACCACTACTGGTACAGTTCAGTAGCAGTTGCTGCTTAACTGACATTGTTACATCCACCATGTCGTCAGATCTTTGCCCAAGCAAACAACTGACATCTACTCCCCAAACATCCTTGATGGAGCATTATCTGTAGCTACTACTTTTTCTATACTGTAGCTGTTCTGTGATTGTTGACTTGTGATTTAGTAGAATGTAGTTCCTCTTTCTATCTATGAGATCACTACTAACCAAGTCAGCCACTATACAGTGTAATATTCTAGTTAAATTAGCTGTTGAATTACTATTGGGCTGTTCAGTTAAATATTACTCTTGTGGACAATAACATGTATGTTAACTAGATGTACTGTACTGTGTTTCATTTCCTGTGAGAACTTAATTCAACAGCAGCTATACTTCTTACTGTACTAATCCACTTACCGACTAATGCCTAACTCTTGTTTACTGAATCTCATCCTTCCTTTTGTAATCACTGTCTTTAAATGTGTTGTCCAATACCGTTTTCACAGTTTTTTGCTAGAACTACGAGCTTGATTTGTACAAGTTTGATGTAGAAACTTAAAGCCACCAATGCACATACACTCAGAATGGACTTTACAGTGAAATAGGAGAGCTTGGGTCCAACAGGAAAACTTCAGAAATTAACAAAATGTGCATATTCATAGACAAGAAGTAGATGCATTTTTAAGGATTTTAATGTGGAAATTTTCAGGCACAAATTATTGGTCTCAAACATACTATTTGTATATATTTTCCTAATATTTCTGGAGGGGATCTTTAAAGCAACTTTTAGATACATACCAGCTCAGATTTTTCACTGACTACTGACGGAAGCAAACATCCTTCATCAGCAGATGTTTTTACCCTCCTGAGTCAGTCAGCATTTGTTTTATCTCTACACTGACACTGGTCTTATTAATACGTACACTGCGTTTATTGCATCTTTGTTTAAATCTGCATTCGTAACAACCAGAAGGATATCATTTCAGTCTGGCTTTGTTGTCAAACTGAAGCACATAACTCACAAAAATTACTTGTCATTTTATCACATGTACAAAAATGAACATATGTGCACCTAATTATGCATCTACGTGAGATCAAAGTAACCTACTTTAAAACAGAATTTTAGATTTACTTAATTAAATGTAGCTGTTTTTGACTTTAAAGTAAACATATGAACCCAGAGCTCGATTTCTACAACATGTACACAAACAAGATATTTTTAACCCTTATAATCAAATTTATGATCAAATTCAGCTCTTGTGCTCGGTTTCATGTGCAACAATACCACAACACTGCTGGAAGAGCATACCATAGCCCTTGTTTGTCTCTCACTGCAAATGAGTGCGCTGTTGTTTCCTGCAGCAGATTGCCTTTATCAAATCACATCATGTGACCGAGCAGCAAGGTCACAGGCATCAGAGGCTGTCAGAGTGATGGCCCCAGGCTAGTCAGTGCCAAGGCAATACAGCAGATAAGAAAGCAGGAAGTATTTATTGGAAATGTGAGAAGTAGAGCGCATTAACCATTAGGTCAAACCCCCTAAATGAGCACAATTAATCACAGTAATTAATGACAGTAATAAGTGTTTTCAGTACCTTTCTTTTCCTTGGCCTCGCCTTTGGAGTGTTAGTGGAAGATTGCTTGAGAGGTTCTGCATTTTGCGGCGGGTTTTTATGTCCAACCTTTGAAAATGTATTGAGATAAAAGGCAAATAAATATTTATATAAACAGTAAATAGTTAAATCAGTGTTACCAACAAAAAAAGCATCATGCTACAAATACATTGACGGGAAAAAAACTGGGGATCTCATATTTGCACACTATAAACTTTACGAGAGATATAACTTTGCTTATTAAGATAGCGGGTGTTTGATTTGTCTACACTGTAAATCCTGTGTAATTAGCATAGTGGGAAAAAACAATTAAATAATGGTGATTGACGTAAAACTAACAAAACAACAATCCTGGACACATAACAATGTTGGGCTACAAGGCAATCCTAATTAATTTCCAGGGTGCTGTTAGAAAAATCATGAATTAATATAACCTTAAGCAAATATTTTTTTATATAATTATATTTTCTTTATCTTATATCATTATCTTTATTACATCTGACAGGCTACAGGGGCAGCTCTTGTGGAAAATAAAATTAGATGTTGTATTATTGCTCCTTCTACTGTCAATTTAGTGTAGAAAATCTGAATATAAACACTCCTGCAGTGCACATGATGTTTTGATGATGATGAGAAAAGGAAAAACAGTGTTATTTGTAAAGACTCCTATCGTGAGAACAAATGATAACTCCTCAGTAATGATGAATAACATACCTACTATTAAAAAGGTTGTAATCTATTCACACTGACCTGAGTGACCTGATTACAATTCCAAGCAGTTTACAAGGGTCAGCTGACACTGATAACATCTTTAAAGCTCACAGAAACCTACACAGACCCACACAGAAATGGCTGTGGTGTTAGAAAACAGCTTTTCCAAAACATGCCCATGTTACGTTAATCACGTCACACAGATCACATGGTTGGTGTTAAAAAGGACGATGTAAGGGAATTTGAAGGGTTCATGCAAGTTTGAGCTGGTAATGTCACGCACAAACAACAACCCAGCACTTCACAGCAGACAGACTCAGACAAAGATTTCCATAACAGGTAAACTGAGGAGAATTAATGCATAAACAAAGACGCACACATGCAGGCGTGCTGCTGGAAAGCCGAGCGTGCACCTTTGTCCTGGGAACCGGCGTTGGTGTCTGTGCACTGGGATGGCTGGGTGACTTCTCTGTGTCTGTCACGTGCGCCTCCTGGGATCAGACAGAGGAACAAGAAGATTGTCACATTTGTAATCCACATCTAAGCTTAACAGAAGCCCGTAAGCTTTGTTCTCCAGTGATCTTACTGTTGTAACTGTAGCCTCATAAAGACAGTAGCTATGGAATATATTTTTACAACTAGGGAGCCATTTTAGAAGAACTCCAGGTGCTTTTGCTTTTCTTCTGTGAGCCTTAACAACTGGTTTCAGAATAGATTTAAACAGGATGACAATCTTCAAACACGTGAACTCACACAAACACTTTCTCGACCCCTCCTGCATTACATCAGCATTTAGTGACTGAAGGAAAAGGCAACACCAGTGATCATGTGCTGGGTTCAAAGGCATTAACAGTAGGGTGTATGTGTATCATGTGTATGTGTGTATGTGTATGTGTGACTGAGACTGAGAGGGTTTCCCAGAGGTCAGCGGGATCACATGTGGCTGTGCCCTTACAGACATTCACAACACAGCACAGACATCTGTGACTGGAAATGCTATCACAAAAAAATGACACTATATTGTCAAAGCTTTCCCAGATTTAATTCTTACTGCCACTATGAATCTGGACCTTCATGAGCTCAGGTTGCATGTGATCACTTATTAACAGCAGTTTTATTCTGCATGGTAAGCATAGTGTCACATAGGAACCAGACACTATGTTGGGTGAAGTTATAAAATTGTGGTTGGGGGAGAGAAGACACGAGAGGTTAAACCCACGTGGAGCTAAATCCCAGTGATCGCTGCTTGGTGACCTCACCGTGGCATCAGATGGCTCATGTCAGGTTTCAATAACACAGTCATTAATCAACAATCAAGATGTTGGCTATAGACCAAAGTGAAGGATGTCCTTCCTAAAGTGGAAATTTGGCCAAAGTTTTGCAATGCTGCGTGTGATACAGTATAAGATGGTTAGTGTGTCTCTGTTAGCATCTCTGCCCTGTTTGTGTAGCTTGTTTGCTTGATTCCTGTATGTTCACATGAGGTCCCTCTGGTTGAAATAAACAAGAGTGTTATACATTTATATCACTGTAGCTACCATCAAAGACACTGATATTATCTGGATGTGTTTAGAGGCATTAGGAGGTTTTAAGAACATTCATTCTACACTGGAGAATTATTTATTTTTCAGTACTTTCCAGTTGTATTACTTTAGAAAAGAAGATAACAACTTGTTTCAGTTATTCACATGGAGAAATTGTGATGTCAACAGAAATGGGAGGAATCTTGTTGCAATACCTGTCCTCTATCTGACCACAGCTCTATATATTAAATGTTTTATTATTGTTGTTGCTTGTTGCTGTTTTTTTCTTCATCTCTTTGTTTTGTCCCTCCACTATTGATTGTTTGTAGCCTTTAATTTGACATGGATGATATGTGTTCTTGTAAACGTTCGTGTCCTCGACCTGTGGTTGGGATGAGCCACCCTTTTGTCTTTGGTTACTGAGATCCCCCCCCCCCCTTGTTTATGTGAGTGTGTTTAGGCTGGGTTGTGGACACAGATTGTTTTGTGCTATCTTAATATGTCAATAGAAATAATATGAAAAAAAACAAGATACAAATAAATGAATAAATAAATAAAAGATTAATTGTTTCCCCAACAGAATTGTATTTTCCCCAGAAACAAATATTTCAGATAACCTTAAAGATTAAGTGTTACTTCTCCTACTTTCTAAGATAAATAACCCAAAGCTGAAACTCCCAGCTTGTGAAAGTTTGACAACAGACCCTCAATTTAGGAAATATAATCTCCAATAAAAATAAAATGTTAAAAAATCTAAATAATTTGGGCTTTTGTTTTTAGTATCTACTATCTGGGGGACTTATGATGTTGTCTCTTGAGCTTTGCAGCAGCAAGATGCCGCCAGGAAAACCAGCAGACCAGACAAACCAGCTAATCAATAAAGACATCAGTCATCGGTGCAGCAAATACAGCCACCTGTGGAGGAGTAATTCCTGCGATGCTGTGATATAAGATCAATAGCTAAATCAGTTCCTGCTTGACATTATGTAAGCTTGTATTTCTAAACTATCACTCCTCAAAGTGTATGGGCAGAGGGTCCAGAGAGGAACTCATACTGTTTAAGGTGCATGGGCACAACATGTGACAGTCTTACCAGCTGCACTGCGTTGTACTGACCACCAACACAGATCTAGTTCATATAAACATTAGCATCTGGTGCTCCTATGAGTATACAACACCTTGACAATAATAAGGGTCGACAGCTCTTCTGTGCAGCCTTCCCTCTCTCTGCCGCTCTCAAATATGTTGTTGTAGTTCTGGATGAGCTTGACCATGATCTTGTTACAGATATTTTGCTCTTTTATTGCCTCGAAACCAGGAGCCACACTGGAAAAGAAGCAGGAGAGAAGAAAAATTAAAGAAAACCAATTTGATTAAATTCTTTAAACATGACAGTAACGATAAAAGTACAGTCAAGAATTGGCTAATGAATGGCTGTCTGGTTTTGGACACTCTAATCAACTTGATTAATAAAGCAGAATTCAGCTGCCCTAGTAAGTATAATGTCTGATGCTACTGAACAGCTGTGTGAGATGTACACTGGGATGTGGGCCTAACTGTAGGCCTAATTATATAACCTCAGCGCGCGCACACACACGCACACACACACACAAGTACAGCTTTTGATGAAAAGAACAGGCTGTACAGTATGAAAGAGTATCCAGTACAGTTTCTCTATTCTGTCCAATGAGCCCTGATCTTTTTACCAGACAGGGTTTCCCGGCCTGACCGCCCCAGTTTATTACTGGAGATGCCCACCAGTCACGAGTCTGGGGAACAGTCGCTGTAGGTCAAAATGTACGAGTATGATTTAGGACAGTAAGCCTATCATAAATAGACAAGTGACAACAGAGATACGTAGCTCAGGGAGGCACATGAGCCACTGATGCATCATTTATTTATTAAAGTCATGCTAACATTTGAAAACACATTAAGCTCAACAATTTCTTATATGTCAAATGACATTTACTTAACACTCACGACTCAGTTAGTGTCCTTAACCTATAGCGTGTGACCTTTGATTAATATAATGTCAGACTTTGAAGAGTCAAACATCTGGTTCCAGAGGTTCATGTATATCAAAAGTGGCACTGACATTAATGGGACATTTATGGACAATGTAATGTAACTGAAGTATCACTAGCAAAGATTTTATCTTCCCTTAATAAGCTGCAGCACCACCTGTTGGCCAAATATTTTAACACAGACCAGTACAGAGAGAATTTCCAGCAGTCATGTGCTTAATGTCTAACTTTTTTAGATTAATTTGTGTTTGTGAGTATAGATTTGAATATTTATGTTCCCACAATACTGACCGCTGAATTCTGAAATACGGGCCGAGACATCTTCTCTGTTTCAGGTAAAAACTTACAAAAAAGCGGTGACAAAATTTACAAAAACAACTGCAATGTCTGTGGGCTAAACTAGTCTTGTGTTTTATTATCTTACTAGATATGTACTACATGTTATAAGAGTAGAATCATTTTTGCCCATGCAACTGCTCTGACATACGAAACAAATGTTAAATATCTGACTCACTAAACAGAAATAGGGAAAAGATAATTGTATCCCTCAGATTTAGCTATCTTAAATATCTGCCTGCTTATTTTTCTTTTCCAGACTAAGGCACGTTGACCTCCTCCGTTATTTAAAGAGTGGAACAAACATGTTTTGTAAAGGTCGCAGTGACTGCACCATACTTTGTTTTAAACTTAATATTAAACTTTACTTTATGAGCTTCAAGGATGTGAACACACTGAAGTATGTCTGTATAAAGGACTTCAATAAATGAGTTTAGATTAGTTGAGCCAAGTTGCCTCCTATGCCCTTGAGTGTGAATCATTAAAACCAGTACCAGACTGAGGCATTCATTTAACTCTAACCCAGTAATTGAGAATTGGATTGTGAGTATGTTAATGGTACAAGTATAAGGCTCTTATACTTTGACTAGTACACCTTTAGCATTTACTCAATGCAATAAGTTAGATTTCTTACTGTTTTTACTATAACTATTATTGTTGTTGCTTCATCACATGCTGCAATCTAAAGCTTTCACAATTCACAGCCTGGGGCCATCCTTAAAGCTGCACTAACGCATATTTTCATACACACTGTGGATTAAATGACTGGGTGTAATGTGAAAGGTGTCATTTTAGTGACAAAGCCTGACAAAGACAAAGAAGCCCTGTTCTTTATATGGGCCACAGGTCAGAATGGTCAATTGGTATTTATTTTTTTACAACACATCTACCTTAACAACAAAGGTTTCACTCACTGGAAGACACTGGGTCCAAAGACAGTGGCGAGGTTGAAGGCAGTCATGCGGTTTTCCTTGTGGTTGCACTCCACAAGGGTGAGGAAGTGGCAGAGGTAGCAGAGGAGGTTGTGGTGGATGTCTGGAAGCTGCTGGAGCAGGTCTCTCATATCTGACCACGAGACATCATCACCGCACTCTACAAACACACACTTTGTTGGTTAGGATTGGTGAGATTGGTTAGAGTTACGGTGAGACTAATATAATAATAAAATAATATTGGGTAAGCCGTCAGAGTAGGGAAGGCCATGACTTCACCATCTTGGGGAAAAAATAGATGCGTGACATGATACTGCTGGGAAGTAGCATGGGCCCATTTCAAGGCTAATAAATGACATGGCCATCAGACTGGTGCAGCCAATACCCGATCCCACATTTTAGGCAGTATTGGAGGAATTTACAATAACTTCCAACACTTCCTGTTTCCTGGAAAAAACTGAAACTTCTGGCGAAAAAATGTCAGTAGAAAAGTTGATAAATGCTCCCATACTGGACGCAGCCATTTCTCAACATTGAAAATCTGCTTTTCACCCACAATGAAATGACCAAAAATCTAATGACGAGTGACCAACTTGATTTAATTTGAAGCAGGAAAATGTTTTTTAGTGTTCAACTACTACGTTTAGTAAGTAGTTTTCCAGCTGGTTTCCAGCAGGCAGTGAGAGCTCCATCCACCTGCTCTCTGTAACATTTAATCTTGAGTTGTGGTAACTAGTAATACTTGAGCATTAGAGCAAAGAACCTGAAAATATGTTGATGCTATTACTCGGGGTACATAATTGGGTCAGAGTTGGATAAACGGATATGGCTACTGATCCCAAATGAATGAGTGACGCAAACGTTGTGTGTGCTACGTGAGTGTGTGCATGTGTGTGAAGGCGGGCGTGTGTGTACATCTGTCTAAGTACAGAGCGAGGGGGGGGGAAACAATGGCTTGTGACCACAACTGCTCTTGATGCCGCTGTGTAAGTTCAGTGTGTTAAGTAAATGGTCGCATGTGTGAGTTTTTGTTTGTTTTTTTTAAACCATTTATCATGAGAAGCTGGTGAGGTTTTTACAGGTTAGTGCAGTAGACAAACACACATTAAGGGATGTTTTGTTTTTTACTTTCTTTTGGCTTATAGATATTAGGTCTAGCACGTTTGAGTAAACATATATGTTATTATGAAGCTGCTTTTGGACTGATTACATGGATAATATTATGAAAATAAAATGCACTGCACATATTGTTAATACATATGATTGTATGTGGTTCTATGTGTCACGCACTGTGTTCCTGTAGTGTCTTTGTATATGCATCCAAGTGTTTCTTAATACCTAATAATTGATGCAGACCTTCTGAATATCTGTGTATACTCTCCAATACAGTCTCACTTAAGTCTTACTGTCCTTATTGAGATGTGTAACCATTGTAAACTGATAGTGATGAAAATGGTTTGGTCATATTCTGAACTGTCAGTCATACAGCAATTTAATCTGCCTATCCATCTATTCATCATACACCTTTGATGTTTTTGAATTGGCCAAATATGGGCAAGGAGGCCAAACCAAAGTTCACAAAGTGCACCAAAATCATTTTATTCAGTAGTTATGGCCAAGTATTGCGCCAGAGAGCAGTTTTCTAATGCAGCGCTTGGCTATAAGCCCTGAAAATTCAATCTGATATTTATGGAGTCTATGAGGGCAAAATGAATACTGCAGTCAAAATGAACACTCTCCTCACATTAAACAGATTAAAGCCAGTGAGGGAGGAGATCGGAAGGCGAGCACAGACGCTTCCCCTGTCAACCTTTTATGACCTTCAAGATTATTGGCAGAAATATGAGATCCAGCACGTTTCCAGCAACATAGACTCTCTCTCTCTCTCACTCACACTCACTCTTACACACACACACAGCTACACACACACTTAACTCAGCAGTGCCTTTATATGCACTGCCTGGTGCAGATGACTGCAGGGCTAACAGTAAATTTCAGGACCTAAAGATAGCCTTGGTTATCATCCAATAAGAGCCGTGACCCACATATTCACTACAATTATATTATTAATTGGTATTAATATTACATTGTGAATTTGGGGAATCACATGATGGTTGTAAAAAAAGTAAAACCTGATCTTCTTAAGCTGGTAGGATGGTTAAAGACAAATAAGCACAGAACTGTTAAACTATAAGTTAGATGATGATGTGGGAAAACATGTTGGCGTTGTAACAAACAGAACTACTTTCTCTTACCTTGGTAGTGACGTATTAGTGCCTGTTGAACTGCTGAGCCTACCAGACCCTCCGGCAGATCCCGGAGGTACTGTTTGAGCAAGCTGGCCACCGTACACGAGTCAGATTCAGAGAGAAGGTCCACATGCTCTCCGCTCTCCAGCCGCTGTTTCAGGGTCTCCACAGCTCGCACATTCCCATTCACTCTGAACAGACCCTCCTGATGCAAGGCTGGAGGAAAGATGAGAGACACACTGTGAACTTTAACATTTAACATGACATTAAGAGCAACCCTATCTATCAGCTATTCAATAAGAGAGCTAACTGTGGATGAAATTAAATAAGCTGCCCCCCTAAAAGTGGTCTTATTATCATGATTTACATTGCAGGCTTAAAATGATAGAGTTTTGGTTGGATGTTGGTCCCAGAAATCTCTACAACTATCAAAACAACTAACATTCAAATATGCATTGTTCTCCAGAGGGTAATTGTGCAATAATTTGACTCATTGATCTTATATGGCACATGTTTCCTGTAGCAACTGCTGAACAGAAAGCATACTAACTAACTAAAGCTTTTACTGTCACCCCAAGCAGTTATATCCATCCTGACTTGGATATGGGAAGTTATACTAGAGATATACTGAACATGTTATGTAGCCTTACCTCTAACTCTACTGTAATCTTGAAATCTGTTATTCAAATTTATAACGTTAGTAGGCTGATTTGCATCCTCCCATCGTCTTTGGCGATATTGTTGTAGGTCTCCATGGCAACCACTAGATGCTACTAGAGAACCACATTTTAATGGTCGCAACATAAAAGATCGATTCACCCAGATTACAAGAAAGACTAAATATTTTCTCACTTTAACTCTAGTGATATCAAGCCATTTAAATGTTTATATTTGGCTTCATTTGCTCATGATTTAAGAAATCAGTCACTGAGGTTTCTAGTGTAAGAGAATCATCTACAACAATGTCCGTATAATGATAGTAATACTTTTTATACTGAAATACCAAAATAATAGATCCGGCAGATAAAGACTATAATATAATAATAATAATATAATCCCACTGGCTGTATCGTATTATAAAAATGGTTCAGCAGCCATGAGGAAGGAGATCCACTTCCTTGTACTGACATCTAGTGGTCGAACAGGAGAACTACAGAAAGATAAGTGCCATACTAGTTCAAGCTTTAGTTTTTAAAGTAAAAATTAAGTACACTTCACATGTTTGTTGATCAATTTAAAAAGCATGCTAGGCAGGTTTTTTGCAATATATTTTTGCTGCTGTTCCAGTCACAAATGGCCTTATATTATAGATAGATAATGAAAACGCTTGATTATTGCTTGGTCCAATCTGCATAGATTTTTGTTAAAGTTTTATCATCTGAGGTGAAAGCACATTGATGACATTGATTCCCATGGTGGGATTAATGATGTTGTACCTTCTAAGTACACTGTGTCTTTTTTTCTTTTTCTTTATAAAATTGCCTTTTATTGTTGTTTTTTCCGCTTTCTTTGTATTCTGATCAGCTCCTCCAACTTATTCTGATTTATGATGCTAATGTAAAGTATTGTATGTAATGTAGTGTTGCACAATTGCTGCAGGCTTGATGTTCACTGTGATGGGTCACATAACTCAAGCAAGTGTTATTAGTCTACTATTTGACTAGTACTTGAACATATTGTAGATGGATGGAAACAAAAGTACTTGTGATTTGCAGTAAATGGGCTAAAACATGCAAAACCACTGGTATGGTCACATTATAAGGGAATTTCTGATCAATAGAGTATGATGGTGATAGTTCTGATTATTGTGTAACTGAATCTGCTCATTTATTTAGACCAAATCACACAATAATACAAAAAGCCAAATTATAATATGTCAAAATGATTCATAATATATTATCTTATTTAGAGGAAACTGCAATGTCACAACTTCTTCTTCTACTTCAAGAATTACAACTTTTTTTGCTCTATTCTGTTCTGTTGTGCTTTTCCTCACCATGCTTGCGAAGATGCTCCACCATCCTCCGCAACACCAGAGGCACACCATCCTCCACCAGGCCCTTCTCCTGCTGCTCAAACAGAGATACTCCAAACAGCTTGGTGTGCTTGGTTGCCACTGTCCTGGGTCGCAGTATGGGTATCTGGACAATCCTCTTCATGTCTTCTTTAACCTGCACCGCTGTCTTGTTGTGCTGCAGGAAGAAGAGCAGAGAGCAGCAGTCACTCACTGACACTACGGGCACAGAGGGCAGCACTGGAGCCTGTCCTGGAGGAGGGAAGCTCACTTTGCTCCACAGACTAATAGGTGTGCGTGGTGACGGTGGTTGTGGGGGTGTCTCTGTGGAGTCCATACATGCACTCCTGTACTGATATGCACTTAGAGGACAGTGTGTGCTGAGAGCCGGGAGGGCTGGCCGTGCAATGTGTTGCTACGACAGATATCAGGTTACCATGCAACACCTTTGGTTAAAGGCATTGCCAGAGTGACACACACACGCAAATAGACATACGCATGTAGCCACACAGGTATACAGTATGTTCAGGTGAGGTGATGGTCACTGTCATTAACCACTATGATTATTAATGTGTGTGTGTGTGCTAAGAGCTGGAAGAATTATCTGTCCAAATGTCCATATTTAGATATGAAAGACTGTCAGATAAAAAGGTTTCATTGGCACGACTGTGTACCTTTCAGGAACATATGAAGCTTATTTATTAAGAAGAAGTAATACAACAGAACAGAATTTTATTTTAATCTAGTGAAAGGTGTGTGTGTATGTGTGTGTGTGTGCTCCACTAGCAGAATAAATATGCAGGTCCTTGACTTAATAAACAAGGACTTTTCAACTGGTTATGAAACAGTCTCAATTTAATACTGATGCCTCTATGTGACCTACTTAAACATGACCATTAGTGAGAAGACAGGCTATTTCTATATAGTTATTCTCAGCACTATAATGCCTGCCAGTGAGTCGGATTCCCCTCAAAATCAAAGAAATGAGGCCGCGCAAACACTTCCGCCATTGTCCACAGGGGCCGCCAGAATCAAGAGAAAATAAAAGTGGCTTGTAGCTGTAAAGGGCAAAAATTTAATTTAAAAATGCTCTATTACAGGTAAAAGTCCTGCATTTAAAGTCTTACTTAAAGGAACCTTTTTGTTGATTCCCCTGTGAACAAAAGCAGCAGTGTTTCCACCGTCTCATTTCATTGATTTCAAGGGGAATCCGACCTGGGCGCAACCATTAAGAACAACAATATAGAAATAGCTTTCTTGCTGCTTATGTGGGTCATATAATTGCCAAGCTGAGCCCAGTCTCCTCTGTGGACAACCCTGTAAACCAGAGTCTAGGCATATATTTAGTGTGTTAATTCACCGGCTGTTCAGTATGTCTTATCTGATGACTTGTCAGAGCAAACAGTGCCACATGCTGTCTCTATCTCTGTGTATTAATGCACAGACTGTTCCAACACACTTGTATTGTCTTTCTCCGAGTGCACACACAAATCTCCATGTAACGAGCCAACATTAGTCAGAGCTGGGTAAATTATTGATATTGATTTTTTTGCACATTTAAATACAGGATGATTAATCAGTTCTGTTTATGTGTAGTCACTGGGAGCAGGAACCAGCAGCAGGATTCAGACACTGGGTGAGGAGGAAAAGACTTCCTGCACTTCAGAGCAACACAGATTCAGAGCAAGTTTTACTCTTGTATCCATAGCTACGACTGCAACATGTGACATGTTGTCTTTCCAGAGTTCATCGTTTCAAATGAGTGAACTGACCCACACGCTAAAATGAGAGGCCCCGAGTATGATTTTCTCACAATAAGGGTCCACAGTGACTCAGTTGGGGAAGGGAAGAAGCGGGGAGTGAAGAGGAAGTACCACTGAATTTATTCGCTAGCGGGCAGACAGATTGTGCACAGGCATGTGCCAGCTCAGGTCAGCTGATTAAAACCCACCTCACAGATGGTGCTGAGATGGCTAAAGAGACAAGATCTTTACCATGCCAGATGCTCTGGCAGTGCTAATACGCTAATTTTGGGAAGCTTGTACAGGCGATGTGTTAATGGTGCTCAGTCATCCACTCCTTTCTGACAGGTGCATGAAAATATGCCAATTGCACCTTCCTGATAACTGTCAAACGGTAATTAAGAACACTTGAATTTAGATTCTGACTGTGCAGTGAAAGCTGTGATTATATTTATGCAAAGTCAAGTACAAGAAGTTCATAATCCTTTATTTTTAACTGTATGGTAGAAGAAAGATCTTAAAATAGGTATCTACAGTACTTTTCTTACTTTTCTTACTTACTTTTATAAGTCTTATGTCTTTATGATGTAGAAGAGTGATTGAACACAACTTTAATGATGGTGATTCAACGTTTTCTTTCTTAAAATACAGCTTTTGATTGATTGTTTTAAATCAATAGACAACTTTAAATGAACAGATCATAGTTTTATCGTATGCTGTACAGGTGTAACAGTCCATTGTTGCTAATAATGTTAGTAGGTCACACTGCCAGTAGTACTACTACACATGCAGGTGTTTAAGAGTTAAGCTGGTCTGAGCTAGGTCTGACTGCGATAGGCCTTATTGAACAGATGTCCCCCTAAATCTGTCTTTACTATCATGCACACACACACATACACAACCTTATGTCTTGGATATTATGTTCACAGGTCTAACCTCACAATGTTTTTTATCAGTTTACATACACAGATGTATGTGTGATGTCACAGTGAACACACTCATACCTTCATTCAAAAAGCCCAACCATGAGAACTGAGGAGGATCATATACCCCACTCACACAAACCACATGATAATGCAGGATAGTCAACTTGAGTTAAAGCCACATTTTGAGTCTATCTGTCATAAGTCACTTTCTTGCTGTTGTGTTTGACTTTTAAGGTCCAAGTAAATTACCAATAACAACATAACAAAAACAATTTAAAGGTGATTTGCAATGAATGATGTCAACAAACCCCAAACAAGACCATAATATGATCAACAGCCTCAACAATTATATATCCAAGAACAACAAAAAGGCAATTTATTCAAATGGCTCATTCGCGCAGCAGAATATGCTTAAAAGATTACTTAAAAGAAGAAATACGTCAATAATCCATTAAACATCCACAACACAATATAAGAAAAAATATAATATAAGTAGAAAATACTCTTGGGACAAAGCAAACCACAAGGCTAATAGTAAACCCTTAAATCTCTGATTCCTTCTCCCTACAGTCCTGGATATTTTTATTTTCTTTATCTATCTGTTAAAAAGTTAACAGAACAATTTACATTTAAAGTAAATTACAATTGAGAAAACAAGAATTTAAATCTGAAAGGATCAATTTGCAGACAATGTATGAAATTTGTGTTCCCACCTACAAAACAGAGCTGAGCTGTAATGTTGGACACATGTAAAATGTCACTATGTCAGTGTGAAATTAACTAAAAACTCAGCATTTAAAAACATCACAGTCCTTCCTCCGAGCTTTCTTTCACAGCAGAGAATCCTACTCCTTTATTTACTGTAATTATACCGTTATAGTAAGATATTCATAAATGTTTACTGTCAATTTTCAAGGTTTTTGTTGAGTTGTCCATTGGCAATACAACCAACTATAGAGCCGGTGAACCAAAGCAACCAAGAATAAAGGAAAACACTTCCTGGTGGTACCCATTTGCCTCTATTGTTCACTGGGACAGTCTGCTGTGATTAGCCTAATAATCCTCATCTCCCCCCCCCCTCCCCCGTCCTTAAAATACATTCACACTCCATTCTGACAGTGAGACACACACCTATTGTCACTGACTACTGAGAGACCCTGGAAGGTAATGACTGTTGAAAGTCTGCCCTTTCCACTTCAAGTGTCTCGGAAATTTCAAGTATCTGGTGAGATGCTCTTCAGAAACATTTTGTACAGTCTAAGTGGGTAAACAAGACTTTTAAAAGAGGTTAAACACAAATAAACTGCCAACAGGCAAGCCCATCTTCCTGTGTCTTTTTAACATGCTCAAGTAGAGGCTAGCAAGCCCAAGCATGTGCCCTCCCTTCCCAGCCCTCCACCCTCTCCCTCCCCTTGCTGCTGTCCCAAAGTGGGTGGCCATTGAAGCAACTGGTAGCAAAAAGCACCACAGGAACCAAAGGCAACAGCTGCTCGGCTCAAAGAAACTATGGCTAGAGACATGCAGCACAAAAACTAGCCTGTAAATGTGGTTTAATGCTTTTAAAAGCACACTTTCCATTAAGAAAGTTCTGTGGAAAATTACCTCATGGAGGCACTGGATCACTGAAAGAATTACAGCTATGAACAGGAAACATGCAGCTTACCATGTGTGTTTATGCCTGTTTTTTCTCTTGTTCTGTTATACTGTTGTACATGGATGGCAGACTTAAAGTAGTGCTGGCAAGGGATCTGCTTTCTCTGTTAAGACTACAAGTGAAAGTATTCAACTTAATGCCGGTAGTCATGTATTTAAAGAGCAAAGTTTAATCTAGGGAGGGAAAGCTTGGAGAGATTTTGAGAAGAGAAGACATTTGTCCCTCCTTGACATTTTAAAAAGCCACTTGCGTCTACCAGAACATTCAACACACACACACACACACCATCATAAAACAGTGTGCAGACAGACACTGAACAGCACACAATCCCGTTATGCATTCTTTAGCCCTTAATCACAGGTTGAATGGGAATTCTTTGAGCCAACTCAGGCTTTGTAGCTTTTACTCACACAGATGGTTAGTGCTCCTGCCCCCATTCTTCCACAGAAGAAACGCCTGCAGAGGCTAAGATGAGGGCAAAAACTGCTGCTATCTTCCCTCCTCCTCTCCTCACTCTGTTCCAGGACACACTCTTGGACTTTTCCCAGTGGTGGGAATCCCTTTCACCTTAAAATGTGCCATCCAAATACTCAGAAAAAAAACCTCAACACAGATAATCAACGCCGGGAAAGAGTGTGAAGAAGTGCTGTCACTACCGGCAGGCTGTCTAAATCATGAGCACAGATTAGTGCTTGTCTCTTTCTCTTCCTCCCTCTATATTCCCCTCTCTCCTCCTAGGCTGAAATCTGAGCCGAGCTCTCCCATTGGCTGAGTGGCCTGGTCATGTGATTAAGGGGTTTTAGAACCCAAAACTTTAAATCTGAGCCTGCGGGATTCCTCTGCCCGCAACTGAGAGGAGAAAGGAGGAGGGAGCTTGTAAGCACAGAGAACCGGAGGGTCGGTCTGAACAGAAAAAGCTCAAATAACACACAGAAAAAGTAAACATAACTTTTTCTAAGAATGAAATATCACTTGTTGTTTAATTGTATATTGAATTCAATATAATTTGCACAACATCCTTATTATTTGCAATTTCAGACAATTGAAATTATTTTGCATGAATTACAGGAAAGCTAAATACTTGCATAGAAAATTGACAAAAAGGGATATTTATAGTTTCAATCAGTTATACATTATAGTTACTGCTCCGTTTGCAAGTGCAGCTCTCTAATTTAGAGAAAAATAAAATTGTTTTTTTTCTATTTTCTTTGTTTCTTTAAATTATTTGATGCAATGTTTGTATACTGCAAAAAAGTATGATATATTAAATATAGCACTGAATAAAAGTTGTTACCATTTTCTCTGGAGAAGATGCCATATAGCTTAATACTATCAGTGAGCATAACACTACAAATCCTATTAGCAGCAGAGGGCAATATGTAATGAACCCAACAATGAGTTGGTCTGTAAAAAAACACACCAAAAAACAGAAATTAGCAACTGGCTAAAAAATCTTTATTTCAATATATCAGCTCTAGTTGGTTTTGCCATTTTCGTATATAAACTTCTTGATGTTGTCGCTGATCCAATCACTGAAGGCAGAGACGCGGGTGAAAACTGAAGGTTTCTTGTCTTTGATGCAGCCCTGAGGTCCAAAGCTGACAATACCATGCACCTCCCAGGTTGTGTTTGTTCCAGCAGCCGTGCAGGCAAAAGGACCCCCGGAGTCACCCTATGGGAGAGCAGGAGGAGGAAGTCACCAACAAAGATTTACTGTATAGGTAAGAAGATGCATTGGTGAACATTTGATTTTGACAACCACTCTAAATCATCTCTGTGTCCTGGAATCTGTAAAGGTCAATCTGATTTCTTGAGTGAGGCAAAGACCAGTGTTGTGTTTTATAAAGCTGTATTGAAATGTAAAAGCCTTCAATACTGTTCTAAAGTGTTTTTCTTTCTTTCTAATTTCTAATCTGCATGTCTGCCTCATTATGGCAAATAAATAATGTTCCTTGTATGTTCTTTTGTCTAATTACGCCTGAAAACCGTGAAGCCATTTGCAAGCAAGGCTGACTGATCACAAACAAAACATGTTTGCATGTGTGTTACATAAAAGACGACCCATTCTTTGGAAGGCAGTTACGTAATGTGTGAGAAAAGCTTGAACAGAATTTTGAGTTAGTAGCACCCTCATCTAAAAAATACCAGTGTGTCAATTTAAACAGTTTTTATTTTTTCCTCTCACCTGGCAGGCTGACTTGAGCTCATCTGGGGACTCGTAGCCAGCACAGATCATGGAGGGCCTGAGGGTGTCCCACCAGTAAGCAGGTTTACTGCAGGTCTGGAAGTCAACAATAGGAAGGGCTGCCTGATTTAGCTTCTCGGACACTTTGGGGAACAGATTACCTAAAGTGGAAAGTAAAAGTTTATGTTATTGCACACATTTACACCAATATATTCCAACTCTCCTCATCTCTA